TTGGTCTGGGCACGCTCATTTTGTCATTGATAACTGTTATTGGCCATTTTCTCCAAAATTTCATATGTCTCATTAACTGATTTGCTCATTAAAGAATCTCTAGCTGTGCTGTCAATAATTATAATTATAATGTACAGACTAACATACATAGAAATTGAAAATATATCCATTCAATTCCTTAATTTCAGAGTTCGAAACAAAATAAAAAATGTTATAGAAATATTTATTCAGACTATTGAAGGCTCTATCTTCTACAAACAAAAAGAAATGAGGTACATCAATTGTAACTTCCATAAAAATGATGAAAGAGCCCACTCCCATATGCTGTAGAACCACCACCACAAGCATGTGAAGTACTAGCATGAGCTTTTCGTATTCTGCACATGAAGCACTACCACCGAGAAACAAGACCAAAAGCATCCTCAGCAATTCTAAGTTTTGTTCCAAACCATGAATAGTTGCATTTTCCTTAAGCATAACAGGCATCTAAACCTTCTTAGCTATAAATGAAGCAAATGATACACCGAGAAACAAGATCAAAAGCATCCTCAGCATTTCTAAGTGCTGTACCAAACCATGAATAGTTGCATTTTCCTTAAGCTTAACTGGCATCTAAGCCTTCTTAGCTGTAAATGAAGCAAATGATATTGATTACAGGGGTTATCAATTTATTTCATTTGTTATTTACAACTATGTATTAGATAACCACCAAAGCAAAGTAGCTTTCATTACTAAATATTAGACTCGGGGAAGATACTAACATATCAAGATTCAGAATAAGTAGTTATTAAGCAACGGGTTGCTACCCACAAACAAATCAAAAATAAATGAAAAACAAACAATGACAGGAAAAATCCCACAATAAAAGTGAAAGTGTGAAGCAGCAGAGATTCAAAACTTCAAATTAAATTATGCTTGTACACGAGGACACAGTAAAATCAAACTAATCAGAAGGTTTGTACCTTTCCCTGAAGCTAAAATTCTCTGCCTGTATAAATACACATACAATCAGAAAACCAAATACAATAAATCTCTTAATCTATAAGTCTAAGATGAAGATGGGAACAATACAGCAAAGCAAAGCAGATCCCAGCAAACAGAGCTATGAAGCCCAAAAATTGCACCCGTGGCAATAGAGAAATGTATTGTTCTTCTATTTACCCCCTAAAATCCTGTCCTCAGGCTTCCCTTGTCAATCCACAAACAAACTTGACAATGAGCCACAACATTTTAAAACCAAGTCAATGTTTAAGAACACACTACAAAAGCCGTCACAAAAACCAAGCCCCAGGCCATCACTACAACCAAACGTACTAAAAAATCAATGTTTTCACGTCCCTAACTCCTTGTTAAGTAAGCATCATTCAATAAGAAAGAGAAAAAAAAAAAGGTCTTTCATATTTGTCCTAACTTATTTTTCTTTCTACTTTAACCATTAAAAGAAACAAGAATTACATAAAGCCGACATCTATTCCTCTCCAAATAAAGACCAGGCTGCATATCATCCAAAACACAAAATGAACCAAGCCTCTTAAGTACAATATTACACTCAAACTAAATAATTAATCTATGATGAATCATGTATCAAGAAAATAAATAATTTCAAATGTATGGACGTTGTGAAAGTAAACGTTAATAAAAATAACAACAAATGGCTTATACAGTAACTATTAATAACCTTACCAATATATTCTCTGCTACGGTGACTACAACATTTGTCAATTGCTTCTGAGTTCACATGTCACAGGTTTGCTCCTCGATCATTGCAATTTACGTATGAACAACTGTGGTGAAAAGAGAAAATCTGATGTACAACTACGAGCCCAGTATTCAAAAAATGAACCTGCTGCCCAAATCAAAGATTATTTGGCTTCAATCTCTTCATTCTTAGCCCTGATTAATAAACAATAAAGCATATTACAACCCGACACTGCTATGGGGGGAAGACAAGAATCAAAGCTCAAAAAAATGATTGGATTTCAAGAAATGGAAAAATAAACCGTGTAAGATGTGCGGGAAAATGGGTTTTTTGGGTTTAGAGGTTGATGTTTATTGTGTTTTTAAGATGCAGAAGAAGAGAACGGAGAGAAGTGGCTGAGACTTAGCCTATACAGACGGCAGTCGGCATGTTGGGGAAGCTCTGATGAAGTAAACAATAACACAACAAAGCTTAATGATATTCTGGATGAATGACTTGAATACTTATTGAACAATCTTGGCTATATATATAGCCCTTATAGTACTTAACAGAACAGCTGAAATAAAGTTCACGTTTAGGTAAACATCAGCTAACGTCGTTAGTGTAATCTGACCACTAACAGTCTCAATTAATCCTAAAGATTAGGGATTTATTTAACAGAAGCAAAACCCAGTAAACAAGACTCAGTAAACACCAAAAACAAGCAATAATTATCCTTTCAATCCCACCCCTAAACTAACTGTGGTAGATAGTTAGTTTAGTTTAGCTGCCTTGCAAATCCCCATCTGACTTCTAAGCTTCTGGAAGGCATCCAGCTTCAACGGCTTTGTCATCACATCTGCAGTTTGCTCCTCTGTTCCACAGTGCAACAACTCAATGGTTCCATCCTTAGCAAGTTCCCTCAAGAAATGAAACGTACATCAATATGTTTGTTCCTCCCATGCATGACAGGATTTTTTGACAATTTGATGGTGGAGCTGTTGTCACACATGACTATGGTGCCCTTCTTTTGTGCATGTCCCAGCTGCTCCAAAACTCTTCTCATCCACACTGCTTGACTTGCACACCCAGCTGCTGCCACAAACTCTGCCTCTGTGGTTGACAATGTAACAATCGGCTGTTTCTTTGAAAGCCAAGATACTGCTACCCCTAAACTAACTGTGGTAGATAGTTAGTTTAGTTCAGCTGCCTTGCAAATCCCCATCTGACTTCTAAGCTTCTGGAAGGCATCCAACTTCAACGGCTTTGTCATCACATCTGCAGTTTGCTCCTCTGTTCCACAGTGCAACAACTCAATGGTTCCATCCTTAGCAAGTTCCCTCAAGAAATGGAAACGTACATCAATATGTTTGTTCCTCCCATGCATGACAGGATTCTTTGACAATTTGATGGTGGAGCTGTTGTCACACATGACTATGGTGCCCTTCTTTTGTGCATGTCCCAGCTGCTCCAAAACTCTTCTCATCCACACTGCTTGACTTGCACACCCAACTGCTGCCATAAACTCTGCCTCTGTGGTTGACAATGTAACAATCGGCTGTTTCTTTGAAAGCCAAGATACTGCTCCAGAACTTAACAGAAAAACATAACCGGAAGTACTTTTCCGATCATCTAAGTCACCAGCATAGTCACTATTTGTGTAGGCAATCTAGTCATCTAAACTCCCTTTCTTATACATGATTCCATAATCAAAGGTACCCTTCAAGTACCTTAATATCCTTTTGGCAGCTTGTAAATGAATCTCTATAGGCTTAACCATGAACCTGCTGATCAAACTCACAGTGTACATTATGTCCGGACGAGTTGCAGTGAGATACATGAGGCTCCCTACAATTTGCTTGTAATATGACTCATTAATTACAACTCCATCTTCATCCTTGCTCAACTTGCAACCTAGAACAATTGGACTATTGACTGCATGACTGTCCAGCATTCCAAATCGCTCCAAAACCTCCTGTGCATATTTCTTTTGGCATATGAAGATACCATCAGGCTGTTTTGGATACTTCAATGCCGAGAAAGAACTTCATTTTTCCCAGGTCAGTCATTTTAAAAACTTGCATCATTGAATGCTTGAAATTACTCATCATCTCTTCATCATCACCAGTATAGATTAGATCATCAACATAAACACTTACAATAAGTATTTTACCTTCTTTCCTACCTTTTGTGAAGAGAGTCTGCTCATTTGGACATCTTTCGAAACCCTCACTGAGAAAGTAAGTTTCGATGCGGCTGAACCAAGCTCGTGGAGCTTGCTTTAAGCCATATAGAGCCTTGTGTAACTTGTAGACCTTGTCCTCACTTCCTTTGACCTCATAACCCTTTGGCTGCTCAACGTATATATCTTCATCAAGTTCACCATGGAGGAAGGTTGATTTCACATCTAACTGGAATATTTTCCAATTTCTTTGAGCCGCAAGAGCCACCACCATCCTCACTGTCTCCATTCTTGCCACTGGAGCGTAGACCTCGGTGTAGTCTATCCCATGTTTCTGCGTGTACCCCTTGGCCACCAAGCGTGCTTTGTGCTTCTCAAGCTCTCCATGCTCATTATACTTGGTTTTATAGATCCATTTCACCCCAACTTTCTTTGCTCCAACAGGCAACGTAACCAACGTCCATGTCTTATTTTTCTATATGGACTTAATTTCATTATCCATTGCCAATCTCCAGGTTGCATTCCTCACCGCTTCTTCATAATACAATGGATCACTTGACACCATTAGTGCCATATTACTCTCATCTTCAGATAACCCGAGGTCCTCCCCACTAACATAATCCCTCATCCATCCTGGACGATTTCCCACTCTCTTACCAGTACTACCTCCATTATCTTCACTATCCCCATTGTTTGGAGATTCATTTCCTCTATCACCACTGTCAATCTCATTCTCACCTATATTTTCACCATTATTTCCAACCCCATCAATGTTTTCATCTCCCTCACTATTAATATCACCTACTCCTGCATCATCATCTTCCTCCTCTAAATCTACCAAAATTTGTTCTTCATAACTCTCATCCCAATTCCATTGTCTATCCTCTTCAAATATCACATCCCTACTCACCACTACCCTTTTAGTAATAGGATTATATAATCTATATCACTTAGATTCCTCACTAACACCCAAAAATATACAAATAGAACTTCTATTGTCAAGTTTAGTCCTCTGTACCTTTGGCACATGAACATGTGCTATGCAACCAAAAACCCGAAAATGATCAACAGAAGGCTTACAGTTCTATTCTTCCATTCCGCCACGCTTCGTTGAGGGGTGTAGGCAGTTGTTAGCTGCCTTTTAATGCCATTCTCCATGCAGAAGTTGTTGAATTCAACTGAGGTGAACTCGCCTCCCCTATCTGTACGCACACACTTGATGGGCAAATCTGTCTCATTCTCCACCATTTTCTTAAAGCACTTGAAATGACTCAATGCTTCTGATTTCTCACTCAAAAAATACATCCATGACTTCCTACTGTAGTCATCTATGAAACACAAAGAGTACCTTTTGTTGCTGTTGGACATGGGAGTGATTGGTCCACAGATGTCTGCATGGATGAGACCCAATATTTGACCTACTCTCCAAGAACTCTTCTTGGGTATAGGATCACGGTGATGCTTGCCTACAATGCAATCTTCGCACAACTCATCTGAGACGGTGAAATTAGGAAGGCCACGCACCATTTTCTTGCTCTGCAAGGTCTTCAAACCCTTGTAGCTTAAGTGTCCATACCTCTGATGCCAAAGCTGAGATAGATTCTGTAAGCTTGTGTGAAAACACTCTTCATGTGGTTGCTGAGACATCATTTGTGATTGGGCAAACAAGATGAACATCCTATTTGTTCTTATGTCAGTCTGAATAATCAAGCCCTTATAGGGATGAAAGATCTTGCATACCCCTCCCTCAATCAGAATTGCCAAGCCTTTCTCTTGAAGCTGCCCTATGCTCAGGAGATTATTTTTTAACTCTGGAACATAGTACACTTCAGTAATAATATGGTTAACACCATCAATTAGAAGCTTTACATCACCTTTTCATGTCACCCCCATCCTAGTGTTGTTGCCTAGCTTGATTGAATGCTTGAAGCGCTCATCCAGCTTTGAGAACATGGCTTGATCCCCACACATGTGATTGGAGCACTTCGAGTCAAGAAACCAAGCATATTTTCTTCTGGCCTCATGCATCTCTACATAGGACATCAACAATATCTCATCCTCTTCTTCAAGCTCAGCATAGTTTGCTTCCTTATTCCAACTTGGACATTCATATTGAAAGTGTCCAAGTTGATGGCATTTGAAACACTCCACCGTAGCCATTGTAAAAGCTTGTCGACCTTTGCCTCTTCCCCTGCCCCTGAAGTTGCTTCTTCCTTGGCCTCTACCACTGTATTTTTCTTCATATGTAACTTTTAAGAGCTTGCTCATCATTGCTGTGTCTATTGAACTTCTGCTCATGAACTATTAGTGAACTCTGTAATTCATCTATAGACATGGCATCAATATCTTTGGACTCTTCAATGGCACAGACAATATAATTGAACTTATCTGTCAAAGACCTCAAAATCTTTTCAACCACAGTTACATCAGTCATCACATCTCCATACACACGCATCTTATTTGCCACTGCCATAACCCTAGAAAAGTAAGTAGTAATAGTTTCACCTGATTTCATCTCTAGGGTTTCAAAATCCCTACGGAGACCTTGAAGAGTTGACCTCTTCACTCTTATGTTCCCTTCGTACTTCCTTTTCATAGCATCCCAAATGTCCTTCGTAGTGTCTTTCTTTAGGATGGTCTCCATGATTGACCTATCTATTGCTTGGAATAGATAATTCTTGACCCTCAAATCCTTCAGCTGCAATCCCTCATAACTCGTCTGCTGTGCCTCTGTCAATATGTTTCTGCTAGTCGCACGCACCCTGTCTCCACAAGATCTATTGTTTGGATCACAAGAAGTTTTCTATCAGCATAGCCTAGTGGTCATAATGACCATTGAAGATTGGAATTGTAGGCTGTGCGAATTTCACTTCATCTGACATCTCTCTCTGTTTTGGTGGTCACTCAAAGCTGCTACCTTTTTCGTCTCTCAGGCCCAGTGTTGGCTCTGATACCAGAATGTTGGGAATGCTCTGATGAAGTAAACAATAACACAACAAAGTTTAATGATATTCTGGATGAATGACCTGAATTCTTATTGAACAATCGTGGCTATATATATAGCCCTTATAGTACTTAACAGAATAGCTGAAATAAAGTTCACGTTTAACTAAACATCATCTAACGTGGTTAGTGTAATCTGACCACTAACAATCTCAATTAATCCTAAAGACCAGGGATTTGTTTAACAGAAGCAAAACCCAGTAAACAAGACTCAGTAAACACCTAAAAATAAGCAATAATTATCCTTTCAGTATTCACATTGACATACTACACAAATTTTCGAACCTTCATCCATGGCCTTATCGGCTTTCACATTAACAAAATTTCTTGTTTTCAAGTGCCGTCGAATTGTCTCTTGTGAGATACCAAATCGGCTACTACTACACTGTCTATACGCAAAGAGCAAATGAGTAATTGAATCAACCAGGACATCGTCGCAATCCATCTTTTATTCTTGTAAGAGAGATTAGAAGTAGAGAATTTACATACTCTACTGCGTTTTATAAGAATAAATTGGTACCAAACAAGGCAATAAAACCAATCCTCGTCCTTGTCCCGGTTGATTAGTACAAAATAATTAGTAGTGTTGTGGGATTAGGATTTATAATTTTCTTGATTTTGGGAATCGTAACTGTTGAAGGAGTTCTTTTATATGGAATATAGTTTCTGATAGAAAGTCTTAAATTTGGTAAGATATAGCGATAAAACAGAATACTAAATGGTTTCGAAGAAGGGGGAAAAAAAATAAATTGAATCACTTATTTTAGTTCATTTCAGTTGCATCACAAAATTTTAATTATTTAATTTTCATCACTTTGTCACCTGAAGTAACTGAAATTGATGAAAATAATTAGTGGCAGTAATTCCACAACCAATCTTCTCCGTATTTGTGTGTGACATGACAACTTACTACTACCTCACGACCTAAAAATGTTAAAAATTCAAAAAAGAGATTTTTTTTACCTTCTAATAGGCGTGTTCGATCGTGCTTAAAATTCAATTAAAAGTGAAAATATAGTCGTTATTGAGTTCTAATAATCTAATAAACGTCAACAATAACGGCTAATTTTTCAATTTTAATCCGATTTTAATCTCTGCCGAACACGCTCTAATATTGACATAACATTCATTTTTAAAATTTATTTTTAGGGTGTAGCGTAGAGATTACGAGGAATATGAGTTACGCCATGGCTGTCGATCAAAGTAATGTTTTATATAAACTTGCATCAACTAATATAGGAGAAGATTTATAATTCTGTAACTCTATATAAAAAATCTTTTCGTCTATCGATATTTACAAAAATAAAATTATATTTTTCTTAAATAGCTTATTGTTGGAATTTTTTAAGGTTTCCAATTTCATAATTTACTTTTTAAGTATACCTTGCAAGTTGCTTGTGAGAGCATGAGGATTTTCCCTCCCATACTTGGGGTTCTTTAGAAAAGCAATTGACGATATAGAGTATGATTGTTACACAATTCCAAGAATCAAGCCAGGCAAATTTGAAGAACCGGTTCAACCGTATGCTTTTCTACCATTCGGTGGAGGACCAAGATTGTGTAGATTTGGAGAACCGGTTCAACCGTATGCTTTTCTACCGTTCGGTAATCGGTGGAGGACCAAGATTATGTGCAAGATACCAATTATTTTTCTCGTTTTTTAATCACATATTTTTCAATAAAATAATATTACATGTAAACCCAAAACCTTTCATTTTTTTCTAACCACACATTCTTCAAAAAATCACTATTATAAAATACTTTTTTCTTCCAAAAACTACATTATAACTGAGCCCAAACATGGGCTAAATGTCCTCGTATTTGTACATTATGTAGTCAATCGATATGGCTAATCTTTAGCATCTCATGAAGAGCTAATTACCATACATCCACTTCCATTTCCTTCTCAAGGAATGCCCATAAAAATTTCTCCCAAGTTAGCATGAATGAAGATTGAAGCTACTAGTTCATGGAATTGTATGCTAGTAGTAATTTATCGAATTCAATTCATAAATTCTATAATACAATTTTACATTAAATAAGACACCAAATGTCAAATGTATTTTATGCTGATTTACTGTCTTTGGCTCAGGAAACATCTTTTTTTTCCCCAACAAAATTGACAGGAGTTCTTTTCTAAGAACCTGGATTACTGACACTAACAGACATGATTCCTTTGTAAATCTTAGTGAGATTGTGAAGATAAACTTTGGTCTGAAGAAATTTAAAAGGAAACATCTTCAGTTGACGAAAATTTTATTGAACAACAGTACTAAAAAGTATTATGTACTAAAGAAAAAATAACAAAAATTTCAGAGTGAGTAATCCGTGGAATTTCCAGTGAATTTGTACTTCAGCGCCTGCGTCTAGAATGCTTTGGCTCTACAGATGGGACAACATGTTTCTTGAGACAACCACTTCTTTATGCAATCAACATGGTATTCATGTCCGCAAACAAGACTTCCCACATTCTCATTTTTTTCGTATTCACATTGACATACTACACAAACTTCCGGACTTTCATCGATGGCATTCTCCGCTTCGATGTTAACAAAATTTCTTGTTTTCAAGTGCTGTCGAATTGTTTCTTCTGAGAAACCAATATGAGTACTACTACCGTACCAATCAAGCTCTCCCATCTCATTAGGAAATTCGTCAAACATGACTCCGTCATCATCTGAATCAGTTTCTTCTGAGAAACTCGTTTCTCTACTATAATTCTGTATAACCCCTCTGAACGTCGGAAAAAAATCATCAAATATGACAAGGTGATTATCTGAACCAATCCCTGTCTGATCCGAATGCCTCAAGCCTCTCACTGCGCTTACTTGTATAGGATGAGGAGCAATCATCTCATCAGATACAACGGTGCTATCAACTGAAACGAGCGATGTTTGATCCGAATACATCAAGTATCTCTCAGTTTCTTCCCTATCTTGTATAGGACGAGCCGAAGAACGTGGACGATAGCCAGTCCACGACATACGAGGCAGATAATCCATGTAGTTTTCCTGCATTAGTTGCGTCTAATCAACCTTATGATAAAGAAACAAAGATTAAAAGCAGAGAATTTATTGCAAAAGAAGTGATTCATTGTGAGAAGAACTAAGAATGGGGCGGTAAGCAGAGAATTTATTGCAAAAGAAGTGACTAATTCTGATTAGGACTTTCAACTTTTCTTGATTCTGGGATTAATCCTTATTGTTTAAGAATTACTTTTATATGGAAATTAGTTGCAAACTTAAGGATATCTTTAGCGATAGAACATAATACTGAAATAACATTCCCGAGAAGTGATAAAATTTACCTAAATTCAAAGATGAATTCGAATCTGAACCACGAATTTCCAACTTTTTGAATCACGAGATTCCACCGTTTAATTTCAAGAACTAGATGCTCCAACTTCGGCGTTCGCTTCGCTCCTGCGGAGCTACCTATTGACTGACCCGAG